TTATCGCATCCAATTACACCAAGAGTTACTAAAAGTAGACTTTTAGCGGAGACTGGAGTTTTGTCAGTGGGCATTTGAAATGTTAAAGCAAGATGATTTTTTTAAACGGGTCATGTTCTCCGATGAGGCTACTTTTTATAAAAATGGTTTCGTTAATAGTCATAATTGCCACTATTATGACACATTAATCCTCACCAATTCCGAACAACTCATAGCCAACGATGGTCTTTGAACGTGTGGGGGGCAATTTTGGGAACCCATGTCATTGGACCATTGTCTTTTTTGACAAGTATCTAACTGGAGCAGTTTATTTAATTTTTTTAACAAACAGTCTAAAAGATTAGTTATAGTCTGTTTGGAAATGAAAGAGAGTAATAAAACCCCGAGATAAGAACCGGCCATGGGCGTGGTAATATTTCGTTTCAGGTAATTATCGGGTAACACTAATGCTAACAGGTAATGGGTGTACATTAGTATATTTTACTGGATACATCATAGGGCAGGAGCCAGTGTATTGTGACAGATCAATCCAGTCTTAGAGCTGAATATACGAAGACGTGCTAGTGCAGTAGAGTAAAATTCGACTTGTGTTTAGTGACTATTGTGCCAGTGGATATAATATTGTTTGGGTAAAATGTCGAGCTTATCAGATTACGTACCTGCTAAACGCGTGAAAAGATGTGCGCTGTCTCAGAATGAGAAGATTATTATATTAAATGTATTTAATGCATTGAAACACCAAAATCCTACCAACAGTGTTGACGACATCGTGGAAAAGTGTTCCAAAATGACAGGGATTGGAAAATCGACTATCTACAGACTTTTAAAGGAAACAAAAAATGAACAAGATACTGTAAATCCCCCAAAATCATCTACAGGGAGGTCAAAAGTCGTTATAGATGATTTCTTCAAAAATGTCATTCGCAGAAAAGTACACTCATTTTATTTTAAAAAAGAAATACCAACGCTAAACAAAATTTTAAGTGAACTTTCAGAGGACAACGATTTGCCAAAAATCAGTAGAAGCAAATTATGGGCCGTCTTACGAGAGTTGAATTTTTGCTGGGAAAAGCAGAACAGGAAGTCAGTTCTTATCGATAAAGATGAAATTATTTGTTGGCGAAGATCCTACTTAAGATCAATTAGAAAATTCCGTGACGAAGGGAGGAATATTTATTATCTAGACGAAACTTGGGTCAACGAGGGATATACTGTAACAAAAGTATGGCAAGATAAAAATGTAAAAAGTTTTCGACAAGCATTTTTGGATGGACTTTCAACAGGGTTCAAGGCACCTTCAGGTAAAGGGCGAAGATTAATAGTGACACATATAGGTAGTGCCAGTGGTTTTGTAGATGGCGGTTTACTTTTATTTGAATCTAAAAATACAGGTGACTATCACGAAGACATGAACGCAGATGTTTTCGAAGAGTATTTTACACAGATGTTGGATCTTATTCCTCCGGGGTCTGTAATTGTCATGGATAATGCCAGTTACCATTCACGGCAGACCGAGCGGACGCCTACGACTGCTTGGAGGAAAGCCGATATAATTCAATGGTTATCCGGAAAAAACATTTCTTTTGAAACAAATATGGTGAAAAAGGAACTTTTGACACTTGTCAATCTTAATAAAGATCAGAAAAAATATGTTATCGATGAAATGGCAACAAATCGCCAAATAACGGTACTACGGTTACCACCTTATCACTGTGAACTTAACCCAATCGAATTAGTCTGGGCGCAGGTAAAAGGAGATGTAGCGCGAAATAATACGACGTTTAAATTAAGTGACGTGAAAATTTTGTTAAAAAATTCCTTGGAACGAGTAACTGCAGATAACTGGCAAAGATGTATACATCATGTACAAAAAGAAGAGGAGAAAATGTGGGAACTCGATAATTTAATTGACGTTACTGTGGAACCTATCGTTATCAATCTAGGAGACGAAGATAATTCATCAGAATATTCAGAGGATGAATTTTAATATACCTACTTTTTTATTTTCTTTATTGTACATTTATACAACACTACATTTACTCACCATAATTTGAATTTTCAAAATACATATATTTTTGTGTGGAATAAAAGTCTATTCATTAAATTTAAATAAATATTTTGATAATAATATTGAATAATTTTATTTGAATTACTAAAAACCCTCTTAACCCGGTTATGATGCTTAAAGTAGCCTCATGTTTTGAAATGCTGTTTTTATATTGTTTACTTATAAGAGAAATGGACCGAGAAATTGAAGCGGCATAGACAAAGACGGATTGTCGGGGATTAAATTTTAGCTACCTGCTACAATTTAGTACAGTCCGATCGCACAAAGTTTTTTTAAAAGTACACCTCATCTATACCGAAAATGCATAATATAAAAATATTGAATATAAGCACCAGTACTACATTTATTTACGATTTGCATACATAATAAGCTTTTATTACTCTCTTTCATTTCTAAACAGACTATAGGCGACATTCCTTTAGTTACATTTCGAAGAACGCGGATGCAACATGATGGTACTCCACCTCACAATACCGATGCGGTTCATTAGTTTTTACACGAAATTTTTACCAACAGATGGATTGGGCGCGAGGGACCAGTGAGTTGGCCTTCAAGGTGTCCAGGAATTTATAAAAAGCAAAGTTTACGTTACACCACCAACTACCGCTGACCAATGTTGAACAGTCTTTTAAAAACCGAATTCGTATGTGTATTAATCAAAATGGAGGATACTTCTTCTTGTTTGTTCCGAGTTTCAGTTTGTTTCGTTTTGCGTTTTGTTTTAGTTGTTGTTAGTGGTTTACTTTTGTTTGTTAAACCACTTTTTAAACATGCCAGTAAATATTGACACTGTTAGTCCCAGGCCTGAAAAAATGTGAAAGAAATGTGGTTTTGCAAGGCCTTCTTGACGCAGCTGTTACATAGCTACTGTTTCCGACTTTAGAAAAGACCCTGGTTTTTCTGGAAAACTGTTAAAGATAAGTATGGAAAGAGCATTCAATTTTGCATTTACCCATGACAATTAATATAGCCGTTCCAATAAAAAAAAGTTTTTCAATTCGTAAGATAATTAAATGTAGGTCTCAGTATTTCAGAGTCTGAATAAGGTACACGTTTTGCTCACAGATGACAATATAGAGTAATTTATGTCAAAAGAAACTGTGAAAACTACAGGCTTCTAACTCTTACGGTTTAGAGGCTAACTAGCCGCTGAAATCGTGTTTTTTTTTTCAAAAATAACTGAATATCTCGAAAACGGTAAGTTTTAAACACCATGTACTATAAACTATACCTAATATTAACCGAGGAATTCAAAAATGCAATAATATACAAGGTGTTTCATTTAAAATAACAATGTTATGTAGGGCCCACGCGAAATGGGAAGCTAAAAATATTTTCTTTACATTGCCCACATGATTTCAGGCAACTTTTATTAAAATCATTTTTTTTTATAAATTTTACAGTTACAGAGTTAGAGAAGAATCCCTCTTAGGTGGAACACCCTGTGTGTTTTAATTTCTAGATTACCATACTTAAAATATCTTATAATGTAGTAACTTTATCACAAGGTTGTAGATAAAAATATGTTAAAATATTATTATTTCTCAGCTTGTCTACATAGTTATTTTTTTAACAAAAGTAGGCATTAAAAAATACACATAATGGGAATTTATAAAAAAAAATTGAATCAACTTAGTATCTTTAAAAGCAACGTAAAATATCATATTGTGTAGAATACAGTCCATAATCCCTCCACAAAACTGTATCTCAAATTAGAAGGGTAGAGACAATGTATTCTATTAATTCTGCTATTAATATCCTCTTAATGCTGTAATTATGTTCTCAAAGCATCGATTAATAAAAGCAAACGGTAACTATATCTAGAAAAGAATATTACTGCTTTAATGTAGAGTTAAATTGAAACTTCGAATCGAGAAATAAGACGTTCACTTTAAATTACAATATCTCTCGCATTACGGTAGTAGTCATTTAAACGTTAAATAAAATGGTTGTAACTATAATTTCTAAGCGGTTAAACTCGTTGGCGCCGAGACTATTTTTCAATATTTCCTCCACGATAAAATAAAGCACTGTGCGGTATACCCAATAAAAATTTATCGCAGTTTGTATCTGTAAACGTTACACTTAATGGTGCATTGAAGATGAGCCATCATCGTAACATTAAATGACTGAATTTTCAAGTGCTCCCAACGGAATCGAATCAATAATAGTGTACTTGCTTGTTTTCTATGGGTCTCAATATTGAGTTAAAAGAAACTGTAAAGATAAAGCTCCAGTACATTGTTAAATCAATCCATTTATTTTACGACTTCAGCAAATATTTTACAGCAGTAAATTTATTCATGAAGAACATATACGAAAGTTTATATAAGAATTTAGAAAATGTAGGCACCGACAAAGACTGCATTATATGGGAAAATCTAGATTGTTATTATTTAAAACCTTGTTTATCGTATCTGATTTCGTATTATATGGTATCTCCAGCCAATATGGCCAAATAGGGAATACGGCTAGTTCGCCATATACAGGGTTCTTCACGATAAGTGGCCTATTACACGTTTCAGAGGAACCAAAGACAATATGAATCTGAAATTTTGATAATGGATATGTCGTAGTCACATAGTGAAATACGTCAGTTCACGAAAAGCCTAGGTGTTACATGATCAACCGGCGTATAATGAAAATTTATATTAATACAGCATCTGCCGGGTCTGTTCATGAAACGACTATCTCCTTTCGGCACATCATGTTCAAAGAATGCATTCACGATTTGCTGCAATTTAGATGTCGACTGATCATGAAATGACTAAAATTTTCGTCACATTGCTCTGTAGGTTTTTCACTACACAAATAGGGCAAAGCAACAAAAACAAGTACATAAAATGAATTTATTTTCCTTATAATAAACATATTATACACAAATACATTACATTAAATATATTTAAACGTACAAATAAGGTGATTAATTTAACTATTTGTTTATACATGGACCACTTTTGTGACATCTCGAATTGCACTGTATCTTTGCCTTAAAGCACTGGCATCTATTACTTTTGCACTGAACTTTAGAGGGTTGGCATGAACTTTTCACATATCCTTGTCCTTTAAATAATGACTCCAGAGAAACAGCTTCTCTAATTGATAGAAACTTCGACGTATTAACTTGTTTTATGCTGATAAACCTTGAAGTTGCTTTTTTAAGATCTAGTCTATTAAACCAAGATTTGATAATTCCACCTGAAGTCCCAACTTGGTATACGTCATTCTTAATATCTATAATTACTGCAATAAGATTAGGAGGATCCCCAGGACTACGATCTACCTTATCAACGTTAACTAAAACACAGTCCCCAATCTCTATATTACCTAACCTCTTTTTTGTAACAGAAATCATTTGCTCCGCCTGACGTTTTTGTCCATCGAAACACTTATCCTGTTGAAATTTTATTGATGTTTCTGAGAAACATAAATTACATAAGGTTTGTCCATTAGTACAATTAGAGTGAAATGGCATGTTGCAAAGTGAACACCTATCATCATAATCTGTTACAATTTTTTGGCAGACTATACAACATATATCTACATTACCATCTACATTATTATTCAATTCAAGCGCAACGATATGAATTTGTGTCTCACTTACATCATTTTCAGTACTTATAGGCAATAATTGAGATTTATTTAATGGCTGGATTACCATATCCTCTACGTTTGTATATTCCTGGTCATTGTCATTTCCGTTATCATTATTCCTATTCTTCTCCAAATCGTCAAACCTTTCTTGTCCCCTTTCATAGGTTCTATTTCGTTTTCATTCACTATCTCCTCTTTATCTTGACTATTTCTATTTTCTTGTACTGAAGAATTAATTACGGTCTCCATTTCTTGCAACTCTTCCTCTGTGGTTATAGAGTTAATCATATTTCGTGGAAGATTTGTTGATTTGAGACCTTGTTTCGATTCAGTTCCAAACACTGCTTTGAAAGGACTTCTACCTATTACTCTATGCAAAGAGTTATTTTTTTGCCATTGTACAAAGTAGCATCCGGTTGACCATGCTGTAGATTTATTGTCAAGCATCCAAGCTCTTAACATATTCTCTACATCCTGGTTTGCCCTTTTGACACTTCCCTGACTTTGGGGATGGCGAGGTCTTCCATGCACGATACATAAGTCTGGCCACATGATTTTTAATTCTTCAATAACAATATTTGTAAATTCGCGTCCATTATCACTCTGAAGTATAGAGGGAGCGCCAAATTGCAAAAATATTTTCAAAAGTTCCTCAGCTACTTCGAGAGCTCGTTTTGATCTCAATGGTCTAAGACAAAGATATTTAGTTGCATGGTCTTGATAATTTAAAAGCCATTTAAAGTCTCCATCATGAATAGACTGAAAATCAATCAAGTCTACTTGCCCACGCGTCATACAGTTTTTTGAAGTAACCGGTTTCACAACTACTTTACTAACAGTTTTATTTTTTTTAGTTTGACATGTTTTACACGACAGTAAAAACATTGCAATACATGGTCTTGGAATAAAACAATTTTGATGAATGATACTAATCATCTTATCCCTTGATCCATGCCCACAATTAATATGAATATCCTTTAGTCTATTATATATGTCTTCTTCAGGAATAAAATATATCAGTGCATCGCCTTGATTTTGAACTTTCTTTATTACGGACTTATTTTCATTCACAGTAACAACATCGTATTTACTTAATAAGTAATAATCCCGTCTACTTTTATTTGAACTTGTCTTGGCGGTCGAAATTTCATTAGCAATCTAAAAACAGATAATCCAAATTCAGTTTCAGCCTAACCTCAAACTTGTTTCACGCATTTTTCTATCCATTGTAAACCAAGTAAGTACTTTTTAATTGGAATACATGTGCTGATAGGGTATGTATATTGTAAAAATTCAGTGCAATGAAAGCAATTGATTGGATTTTGCAACATCATAAATTAGCGTTATCATTGGTATTGTTGAGCAATATGGCCAATTTAGATGGGGGCTAATAAGACCATGGTCATATTGCACTGCATGTGAATTTGTTTCATAGCTTATGTAAAATCATTTGCAACAGTAATTTACTAGTTACGGTTCTTGTTTTGAGGAGCAAAGAATGCTCCGCATTCGGGCCAGGGGTTTTAGGGTTCAATGGACCCAGGAAACTATAAATGAGGCTATTCAAGCTGTGGCAATGGGAATGTCAGTAAATAGGGCCTATCCTAATCCATGGAGTGCCCAAAAGGACACTCAGACATTATCTGGAACAACAGAAGGTGACTAAGTCAAACAATTCGTTTATCCCAAGTAGGTTATCCGCTCACTGCAGCGGCATTACGTAGGTGTGTCTATAGGGACACGAAGGTGAATAGCATATCTAATCCGTTTAGAGGAAAGAAATTGGCTAGGCGTTGTTGGCTTAAGAGGTTTATGGAAAGGGATCTTCAAATTCGCGTTAGAAAAGCACAGAATCTGAACCCTGCAAGGGTTCAAAAACTAAACAGATTCATTATAAATGACCATTTCACCAAATTATAAGAAATATTGACGGCGATGAGTATCATCAATATGAAAGTGTTTACAACGTCGATGAGACAGGTTACAGATTATGTCTGCACCATCAACAAAAAGTACTAACACAAAAAGGCGCATGAAGGGGGCACATGATTGCAAATGGACATGGTTGAAACGTATCAATTGCAGCTTGTGGCAGTGGTATTGGGCCAGCAATACCTCCTATGGTTTTATTCAAGAGAAAACGCATTAAACCAGAATGGGGAGACGATACCTTGAAGTATTTAACTACTTGTGACAGAAAAAGGTAATAGGATTCGATCAGACTTTTCACGATTGATAGAACACTTTTCAATATTTAAGGAGCTTGTTCCGTGCCTTCTTATTTTTTATAGGGGCAAATATCATTTGGACTATAGCATTCTGGAGACAGCTGAACGATATGGCACAGCGTTGTATTGCTTGCCCAGTAAGACCACTCATGAATTACAGCCTCTGGACAAAGCTGTTTTCAGAGCGATCGAGTATTACTGGGATGACGAAGTGGTAAAATGTTTTCAAAATATCCAGAAGAGCGTTCAGTGAGCAAGATGCGTTTCAGGGGAATTTTTTCAATCGCCTGGGATAAAACTATGACGCCATCAGATATAAAAACAAGTTTTAGAGCTACAGGAATTTATCCGTTGAAAGTGAAGCAATTTCAGAAATCGCTTTTGATCCGAGCAGCGCCATAGATCAAGATCAGTGATAAGAACCGCGGCAACAATGGGAAGATAATTTAAACAATTCAATCTCAAAGGTATTGGGTCCATCTAACTCTGGATTACAAATGAAGTAGCAGACCCACATGTATTACTCACGACAGACAGCAGTAGCAGCAATGAACAGTCCAATTATTCTTACACGATGAGTGTATCTTTTACATAAATACTAAAAACTTGAGATCAAGTAGTAACCAACTCCAAGAGAGTTAGGAAATCTGCCGTTAACTCTAGAGCCCAACTTATGACCAAGGATCTTTTTCAAACCGAAAATAGTAAGAAAGATACATCCATTTCAAATGTTGCCAAAATGATCTAGAACAGCTGTACCAAAAGAAAGAATCTTGGTATTGCAGATTATGTCAGGAGGATAGGCAAGCTGATATGCGGTTTTGCAAAAAATATAACGATTACGTCCAAGAAGAATGCATGGGTCAGGCGAAGAAAGATTAAAAATATTTTTATGCTCTGATTGTGAATAAATTTAAAATTGATAAAAGATAAATTTAAAATTGATAAAGGTAAAGGATAATATTTTTGTGTTCTGATTGTGAATAAATTTAAAATTGATAAAGGTGTTTTACATATTCTACTTTACTATTTAAGTTTATTTTTCAGTTGTTCACTAATAATAATTATTTGTGAATTGATATCGCCATCATTTGGCTTGGCCATATTGCCATAGTTAGTGTTGGCAATATCGACAATTGTAAATTTTTTAAAAAATGTCGCTAACATTTTTAAACACGATATTATGTTTGTTTTTGAGTTATCAGTCAAAATGTTCCGTTGACGTTGTAGACGACTTAGATTTAAAAAAATATGCTATTGAGCTTTTTAAAAAAAATTAAGTCGTAACATGGTAGATACCCTTGCATAAAACTACAGAACAGTTTATAAAAACAAAACAGTGTAACTAAAATTTCCACTAAAAGAAATATGTTGTTCCTTGTGCACAGAAATGTGAATGATGCCAAGATTTGGCTTGCATAAAAAAATGTTAAGTTTACACTAATGAGTTACAAAAATATTAGGTAACAGTAAAAATACAACGTATTTGTATGGCTTGAAATAAAGGTATTAGGATATCTATACAGGGTGGTGTGTAATTGTATATCGTAAAGCATACTACGGTAACAAGGAAATTTGGGTAAAATGCTTTAATTTGAGATATTGATGGATGGTGAGTAAACTTCAATAAATTAATTTTGATATACATATTAAGAAAAAAATTATATGAGTAACTAAATAATATTCTTTAAGATAATATTTTTCTTTTGTAACGGTAGGTATCAATGTTTTTCAGAACTTAGTAAAAAGCTGTACGAGTAAATAACTGAAAATCGTTTAAAACGCGATTTTAGCTGTTTCCTCAGACGAAAATTATGCAAACGCGCCCCGTCAATTTCTATTTATAAGCTCAGATTATACCGGAAAGCTATTATTTCGGAGGCTTTGCGGCCAATCCCATATTTGACATTTAATATGTGTATGGACTGAAGTGCAATGGGTTAGCTTCTGTTATTCCGATGCTTCTGTCCGTGGAACGTAAATTATTGAATTTGTTAGCTGAAGCAGTAATAGGATTTCGTAATTTATACTGTCAGAAACGATAAGCGTATCAGAATATGGCATGGCGGCTTTAGGCAGATTGGCTTTTATTTCACAGTACAGAAACTATATCAATATTGACTGTACCAAGTTATCGATTATAAGTTTCACTCCCCTTCTCTGATATAAGCTTGGCAAATACTAAACAAAAAAGTTGCAGCAACCAGAATTTTTTTAGAAACATTAAACAAATTATGTTCGTTGGAGTCATTCTAATACAGGGTGTAACTTTAAGTGGGCGTCAGTTTTTTACCGGCTATAGTACGTGTTGCCCTTGTTGCCCTGAATACGAATTTGTAATTCTTTTTTTTTAATCAAATAAATACTCGAGTTAACAATTGGTTTTTTAAACGACGCTTTAATTATTATGTACGCCACCGCCGCCACTGAACAGAGTAAACCAGCGATCGCGGAATTTACGTATGAAGTTATATTCCTCACTGCTGGTGTTGCCAGTTGCTTTTATATCGACTATATTGTGCGAAGTTAAAAATTATTTTGCAGATTATTTTTGTATAATTTAGGAACTTGTTATTTTAAAGTCACCATATTTTTTTGATATCATTGGCGTGGGAGAGCCGAACTTTGGAAAAAATTTATTTCTAAAAAAGAAATAAAGTTTTACATGATTTATTAAGTATTAACTAATATTAGTACGTTACTAATTATCTATATATATTTTTTTATCAACTGCTACATAGTGAAACAAGCTAATGAAAAATAATTTAGTGCACACAGGTTGCTTTTCTATAACAGCGACGTGTTATTTTACTTAACATATGTTTTTGATGTCAATATGGACGAAGCGCCAAAAAATTGTTTTAAAAAAAACATTATTTTTACAGGATTTATTACGTATTAATCAATATTGGTGTGTAGATACGTTACTAATTGTAAATAAAACTAATTTGTGTATTAAAATAATAATTTTTGCTGTTTTAAATAAAAAAAATTAAAAAACTAATCTGATTATAATATGAAATCATTTTTTAAAATTGTTTCAAGGTTTTACAAACATTTATGTTATAGTTTTTTTAAGCAGTGTGTAACCTGAGGGGTTATTTCTGTGATTATCTACCTTTAATTAATTATCTATTTCATTCTCGAAAGAGTTACTACTTAATTCTCGAAAGGGAGTTTATTTGATTATCGTTATGCTTTAATTAACACGTGGGAACTTAGAAATGTATCTTCAGAAAATGCATTTCAGTCACTTACCCTTACATTGCTTACGTGGAATATTATCCAGTGGCTGGCTA